CATTCCTGCAAGAAAGGAGTCAAGCAAGGGGGGCAGGAGACCTGCATGGATGGGAGCCGTTGGGTAAACTTAATGAGAAAAAGAACACATACACAATGTAGAAAAAGGGCCAGACCACGTGGGAGGAATATAGCAACATTGACAGAGAACGCAGGGGTGTAATGAGGAAGGCCAAGGCCTGTTTGGAATTAGAGTTAGCAAGAGATGTCAGAGACAAAGGAAGGGCTTCTACAAGCACATCAGCAGCAAGAGGAAAACTAGGGAAAATGTTAGTCTGCTGCTGAAGGGGGAAGGTGCCTTGGTGACAGAGGATGAAGAGAAAGCAGAGTTACTAAATGCCTTCTTTGCTTCTGTCTTTACTGCTAAATCCAGTCCCCATGAAATACAGAACCCAGAGACAGGAGAGAGAACCAGGAGAGAGGAGGACTTTCCGCTGGCCAAGGAGGATTGTGTTAGGGATTATTTAGGCAAACTGGACACCCATAGATCTCTGGGCCCAGATGGGATGCACCCAAGTGTCCTGAGGGAGCTGGCAGGGGTTATTGCTCATCCGCACTCCATCATCTTTGAGGGGTCATGGAGAGCAGGGGAGGTGCCAGGAGGTGCTGGAGAGGGCTAGAAGAAAGTCAACATCACTCCAGTATTCAAAAAGGACAAGAGGGAGGAGCTGGGAAACTACAGGCCAGTCAGCCTCACCTCCATCTCTGGAAAGGTGATGGAATAGCTCATCTTAGAGACCTTCTCTAGCTATGTCAAGGAAAAGAAGGTGCCCAGGAATAGCTAGCATGGATTCACCAAGGGGAAGTCATGCCTGATGAACCTGATAGCCTTCTACAATGAGGTGACTGTCTAGATGGATTATGGGAGAGCCGTGGATGTTGTCTACCTTGACTTCAGCATGACTTTCGACACTGTCTCCCATAACATCCTCATAGGGAAGCTCTGGAAGTGTGGGTTAGACGAGTGGACAGTGAGGTGGATTGAGAACACTTTGACAAAGCCATATCCCTGAAAACACGTATTTTAAAAAGCGGCGCCGCAAGGGCAGGGCGCAGGTCGCCTCGGGCCCCGCAGCCGGGCGGGTAACGGCCCTTCCCGCGCGCCAACGGTCGCCGCGACGGCAGGGGGCGCCGTGCGGCTGCGCGGACTGCAACTCCCGGCGGGCCGGGCGGACTACGACTCCCCG